AAATGTTTATGAAAATTAATAAAATATAATTATAGAAAAAAAAAGTTAACTGGGGAAAATAAAACCATAAGCATCCAAGTTAGGCTACTTGTTGAAGTAGTCTAATCCTCCTCACATTCTGTGGCAAAGCAAGTTATTAAATATGGAGGACCAACTGAGGACACAGAGGAGAATCCTCAGTTAAGTAACTAGGAAGTCAAAGACCCTTCCTTAGCTACACCTTGACTCGAAACGGAACTGACTCCCAGTATGTCTCCTAAGGCCATAAGATGTACAGGAGTCTGCCCATTTCTCATCCCTGAGCCACTCTTGGATCCAAACTGCCAGGAGGCCCTGCCCCTAAGCTTACAGCATAACTTCCTATAGACTACACCACCAGAGCTCCCCAGAATAACATAACCCTTGGTTTATAAACAGAAAACGAAACACAAGCACATGGCATTTCTTAATCTGTTAGAATGTATTTCAAAACTACTATTTTGCCCTTTCCAGTCCTGGCTCCGGACATATCCACCGTCAAGATGTTGATGTCCAAGAAGAACTGGATTGCCATATATGAACTTCTTTTTTAAGGAGGGGGTGATGGTGGCCAAGGATGTCCACATGCCAAAGCACTCTGAACTGGCAGACAAAAACGTGCCCAACCTTCATGTCATGAAGGCCATGCAGAGTCTCAAGTCACGAGGTTATGTGAAGAACAGTTCACCTGGAGACATTTCTACTGGTACCTTACCAACGAGGGTATCCAATATCTACGTGATTACCTCTATCTGCCTCCCGAAATTGTTCCTGCCACCTTGGCCACAGCTGTCCTGAGACTGGCAGGCCACGACCAAAAGGTCTGGAAGGTGAATGACCTGCCAAGATTGACTCGAGCGGAGACTGACAGAGACACATACAGATGGAGCACAGTGCCTCCTGGTGCCGACAAGAAAGCCGAGGCTGGGGCTGGGTCAGCAACTGAATTCCAGTTTAGAGGCAGATTTGGTCGTGGACATGGTCAGCCACCTCAGTAAAGTTGGAGGGAATTGTTTTGTGTTGAATAAACATATAGCCATAAAAAAAACACACACAAAAAAAACCCATACTATTTTTAGGTATTCTTAGGTATACTGTAAACATCAACCTTCCTTCTAATGTTACCACTTCTCACAGGCTTATTATCGGAAACCTATCTTAACTACCACGTAAAATCTTAAGTTCTTACTCATTCTACTGAAAAGAACCCAACATACCTTCCACTCAGTAGAATATCTCATCACAATTGCTCGGCACTGGCTGTTATACTCTGCAATCCCCATCTTGGCTACATCTTCCGGACCTCTGATTCCCAGTGTCTTATCAATTTCATATTCCTAAAAATTTGTGATCAAATTGTGAATGTTTCTGTTCAATGAAATACAACTGTTGTTGTTATAACTGAATAATTCTAGATATTTAAACAGCCCTAAAAACTTGGTGCTCAAGAAATGATACTAAAGAAATTAATTACAAAATCTAACATACAGTCAAAATCTATCATCTTTAACATATTTAAAGCTTAAAGAAATAATAGATAAAGCTGGAGTCTCAAACGTACCACAGGTAGACCATGACAATCCCATCCAAACCTTCTGTCAACATGAAATCCGCTCTGATGAGCATATCTTGTAATTATGTCTTTAATTGTCCCTGCAAGTATATGTCCATAGTGTGGCAGTCCAGTAGCAAAAGGAGGCCCGTCATAGAAGGTAAATCTATCAAGGAAATAAAACATATTATCTTAAAACACTTTGAAAAGCAGCAAAAGTTTAGGAAAACATTTCTCTGTATATAACTACTGTCCCAGTAAAAACTATGGAAAGGAAAAAAAAGACCAGCAAGAGAAGACATACATTATATAATTTCTTAGCTATCTCTGGAAGTCCAACCTTCAGAAATACATAATAATGTCTTAGCTATCTCTGAAGGTCCTACCTTCAAAAAGTCTACAGTTTCTGGAGAGCTGGAGAGACTCCACTTGACTCTCCATTTTTAATAGTTTTATAGCATTCAGCAAATTATTTGTGATCCTGACTCATCTCAGTAGTAAAAAAATAATAAACACTTATTTCAGCAGAGGAAAACAATGTTAAGAACTACTAATTAAACAACATGTCTTTTGGTTAATACAAGCAGTCAAGCACTCAAGAGAGACTATTGCTAGTCTAAGTATGTGGTACCGTTTTAAATTATTCTGGGAAAGATGACAAGAGACATCACTTCTCAAATGTAAGCTGCTTTCACATATGCGAGGTTAATGGGATAGTGATTAATGCTGCTGAAGAAAGTTGGTTACGGAATAGTCTAGTGAGTAGTCTCTAGAGTTGTTTCTATCATGAAGGCCGTATTTTCAAACCATTACTATTCCTTTGTTTCCCATTTTCACATTCCAATCAAAAGTGATTATCAATACATCTTAACAACATGTTTGATCTGCAGGAGATGGAAGAAATCTTAAAAGTCTATGTGGCCTTAAATCTGAGTTTACAACCTTAAATCATGTTTACAACCTGCTAAGGGCTGACTCAACAAACTCTTGATAGCAGCCAGCTGGGTTCAGACTCACAGCAGCCCTACCTACAAGGAAGGAAACACTCTCACGTTCTGTGCCACCTCACAACTATTTCTACTAGATCAAAAGGTCATGGTTACAGCCACTGTGTTCATGCATCACTGACCATCTTTTTCATTCATCTAGTTTACTAAGCATGGTATCTTTCTCAAGGAACTAGTTTCCCCTGATCAGTTCAAAGTATGTGAAACAAAGTCTCGCCATCCTTGTTTCTAAGAAGTTGCACTTCATCAGAGGTTTGTTTTTCTTTTTCTTCTGGCTCTCCAGCCAGTGTGTTCAAAATTATTTGGGAATAACAGTATCTAAAGGCATCAGTCTTTATTCATTATCCAGCTTGTTTCTATATGAGGAAACTGAAAATGCCATGGTAAAGGTACACCTTTATTCTCAAAGTTAAATCTTTGCCTTTTTTTTTTAACACTTTAAAGAGTTCCTTCAAAGCAAAATATCCCAATGTATTATTCAATTTATTGAATGCTGCTTCTACTGGTATTGATCATGGATCTAAGGAAAATGAAATCTTTAACAGCATCACAATTTTCTCTTTTCATCATGATGGTGCTTATTAGTCCAGTTCTAAAGATTTTTGTTCTTAACGTTGAGGTATAATCCAGGATGGTCACAGAAAATTCTATCATGAGATTTCCAGTGTTCATTCTAACACCAACATCATATTTTCTACTTATTTATTCAATGCCATTCCCCATTTTTCTATTCCAATTATGAAAAATCATCAATAGACCTTGATTGCTTTTTCTATCAATTTCACACTTAAGAAGCTGATCAACTCAACTCACTGCTGTCAAGTTGACCAACATTCCAGCAGATTTTCCAATGTTGTAAACTGCATGTGCAGGAGACTCTTCATTTTTCTCTCCTGGAGCTGGTGGTGGATTAAAACCACCAGAGGGGCACCTCCAGACAACTGTCTAAAGCAGGCCAGATGAAGTCTTCCCATCCTTCCTTCTTATGGAGCACCTGGTTGTATTTCATCTAAGAAAAATGTGTTAAATCCATTAATGCTAAAGAGTTAGCATAAACTGTTTTATTAAATTTGGCAGTTCACATATATACTATTAATGGATGTTTGTAAATGTTTCTTCTTCTTTTGTATCATGCCACATCAGCAAATGATGACCCTGAAAGCTTTACTCCCTCCAAACCACTTAGACTGACTATACTTTCAGAAAGGACTTTCTACTAGTCACATCAGGAGCACTTTTCAATCTGAAGAGCTCATCTTCCAGCCCTGTCAAGGATTTTGTATTTTTACTTGGATCACAATCACCACCAATGGAAGTAGCAGATAAAAAATATTAAATGAGGTAGTGCACTGGGGAATTCTGCTCAAAGGACATCTTTTCAGTTTTAAAAACAAAGATTTCACTTTGAGGAGTAAGGTCTTCCTTTTTTATAACTCATGATTATTTTCAATAACCTCATAAGTATAAAAAGGCTGGACAATGGGTAAAGAGGACTTAAAAAAACCTAACACTCTCAAATTTCGGTGTTGGCAAAGAATACTGCATATAGTACCAGCTGTTAGACAAAGAACTTTAGTGTCACAGAGCATGTTTGAATCTATCAGCCTCTCTGTGGGAAAAAGATGGTGTCTGCTTCAACAGCATTAACTCTGGTTTGGAGGTGAGGCAGAAGAACAAATCAATCTTTCCTGGAAGAAATGCAGCCAAAATGTTCATTAGGATGGGGACACCTCATTTTATGTACTTTTAAAATGTTATTGACAAGACTAGAGGCCAAACTCAGGATCTGACAGATGGCTGGGTTGCCCCGCAGGATTATCAAGGAAATCGAACGTCTGCTGGCAGAACCTGTTCCCAGGATTAAAGCAGAATCAGATAAGAGCAATGCTCGTTATTTTCATGTGGTCATTGTTGGCCCCCAGGATACCCCCTTTAAGGGAGGGACTTTTAAACTTGAAGTATTCCGTCCAGAAGAATACCCAATGGCAGCTCCTAAAGTACGTTTTATGACCAAAATTTATCACACTAATGTAGACAAGTTGGGAAGAGTATGTTTAGATATTCTGAAAGATAAGTGGTCTCCAGCACTGCAGAGCCGCACAATTCTTCTCTCAATCCAGGCTTTGTTAAGTACTCCCAATCCAGATGATCCATCAGAAAACGATGTAGCAGAGCAGTGGAAGACCAAAAAAGCCCAACCCATAGAAACAGCTAGAGCACGGACTAGGCTATATGCCATGAATAATATTTAAATCCATCTGACCCTCAAGTGTACCTCACGTCTCCTAATGGACACAGTCTTAGAAACATTACAGAATAAAAACCCAGACATCTTCAGTCCTTTGGTGATTAAATGCACATTAGCAAATCTGTCTTGTCCTGATTCACTGTTGTCAAGTGTGAGCAGAAGCTATAAGTATCATCTGGATTACTGCAAAATGTTTAAAAGCAGTGCCTCCTCTCTGCTTTTATTCATTTCCTTCCCCATCATGGTTTAAGTATAAAGCACTGTGAATAAAGGCAGTAGTCAGAGTTAGCTGCAGGGGTGTAGGAGTTTTACTTTTTTTTTTTGAGGGGGAGGAAACATTATTTTAAATTTCTGGGCTCCCTTCCCCCTTTTTATGGTGCTCTAATTGCACTGGTTAAAAGCAGCTAACCAATTGTTCTTTAAACTATACCCTCTAGCTAAGTCTAACTTTATTTAGACACCATAGATAGACAAGATTGTTGGAACAAAAATGGGAACATTAAATAAACAAACATCACAGCCCTCATTAATAACATTGTGACTTTGCTGTCAAACATAGAATCCTCCCTTCAAGAAACAGCTTGTGACAATTTTGTATGGCTTGTCTAGAACCTTCTGCAAAGCTTATGTTTTAGTAAAATATTTTTTGTTATTCTAACAAAAAAGTTATCAAAAGTGACCAGTTCTAGGACATCAGCTTGGAAAACTAAAAGGGTCAACAAAAGACTAAAGAGAAAGACCTTCAACAGAGATGGACACAGTGGCTACAGCCATGAGAGTAAGAATGATGCGAGACCAAGCAGTATTTGTCTTATGCAGGGAGTACGGCCACGAGTCAGAACCAACTCAAGGGCACCTAACAACAAGTCACTTTAAGACAGCTTTTCATATGAACAAATTTTGAGAATATAAACATTAATACAAAGGCACTCAGTTCGAATCCACCGATGCTCTACTGAAGGAAGGGTAATCTCCTCCTGTGCCAGTCAGATCTGACTTGATGGTATACAATAAGGGGGGAGGGAAGGTAATACAGAGCTAAATATGGACTCTATTGTAGAAATTCACATACCTTGGTCTATGCTTTGACTGTTTTAAGCATTCCTGGAAGCAATTATATTCTGACCAAAACTGCAAGACTTTTTCCTCTTCAGATGGAAAATTGATATTTTCTGGAACTTGCTGAACCATTTTGGTCCTGCAAAAGGAATAAAAGCATTATCCTCAAGAGATATCCAAACAGTTTGAGATACTATATAGTTGTTGTTGTTGTTGTTGTTGTTAATGTGGTCCCTAACAGCAGACTTTCCCATTGCGATATGCTTTTTGATTTCCTGACTGCTGGCGCCAAGAGTGTTGACTGTGGAGCCGAGCAAACTGAAGCTGTGAACAATCTCAATCTCTTCGTC